GGGCCAAGCCTTCGCCCTGTGGTCGTGCCAGGCCAGCCTTCCGGGCCCCCCAATCGGGCCCTAGATAGTATGTGTCGAGGGTCCCGGAGGCAACACAGGGCCTAGCGGGGGATATGTACGCTGTGCTCCCTCCCCACCAGCTGGCTACTTCCTTGGGTGTTTAGATATGTAAGAAACTCAATGCTAATCAACGATTCCCTCTCAGAACACAACTCGAATGTGAATGATGACATTTGCTCCACAGAACATTCGCTTGTAGACGCCAGTCTAGTTTAACATGCGCCCGGATGGCCGGTTGGACACCCTTCGATCGAGTGGGGGTTAATTTAAACCCCCTGAGATTTCATGAACTAAGAGAGCAAGACACTGAATTTACGGAGTGTATTGACCTGTACATGAACTCACTTAGGTCAAAGTTTAAAGTTCCTATGTCATGAATATTGGGTCAAATAAGGTCAAACAAGGTCAAATTCTTGGTTGGTTTTCAAAGGACTTTTAGAACCTAGATAACTGTTCTAAGCAAAAGTTCACGTGCTCATTTAGGATTAGTGACCTTGCTTGACCCTTTGAAGGGCATGGTGACCAAAATCATGCAAGACTGTTTTGAGTTTTGCGTTTGAATAAGCAAAAAAGATCACGCTAGGCGGTATGTTCCCAAAAAACAAAATATTGATCTGAGTCAATTCAGGTCAGTGACCTATTTTGACTTGGAAGAAGTCCGTGGAAGGTGTTTGACGCGATTCCTATTGTCAATAGCTTTGAAATGAGCACCAGAAATTACCCCATACACCAAGCCCTAGGGTAATAACACAGTTTGGTGTGACCTTGGTCTGACCTTCATGCCTAACCCTAGATCAATGCTAATTGTTTATTCGGTTGTTATCCTGCCTAAGAAAGTGCCTCAGGCCTCAGAAATGTATGGCTTCGTCTGACACTCCGTTTTTTAATCAGATTGAACCATTCCCGAGAAATTGGCTTCGCTGAAACCATGATCTGACTTTGACCTGCCATAGGTCAGTGACCTTACAAGGTACATCTAAATGCTTGGTGCCAGGCAATTCACTACTCATTGTCTACAGCCACGCAAAATTTGGCACGGGTATGCCGCGCCGTTTGGAAACCATTCTGAAAAAGCCTTCGGGCGGGGGGGGGGGGGAGAGGAGGTTCAACGTGTTTAACCATGGTTTTGTTCAGTGGTAGGCTCAATATCCTAGATTCTGATACAATTCCTTTATTTCTCACTATATTTTGATGATTGATTTCTCCCATTTGGTGGGATATCAGCCAAACAAGTGGATAACATTCCGTCTGGTTATTTCCTTCATGTATTTGGTGCCTTACCTAGACGTTAGGGTTAACCACTTCGTTAAACCCGCAGTGAAAACGTCACTTTTATTGGCAATAATCTAATCGATGGTGAAATACTCATTTTGGTGGTGATTCATCCAATTTCGTAGAAGTGTTCATTTTGGTTACACTTAACATGTTTTTGGTGACCGGTGATCAGTTTATATTATAACTAATAAGATAAGGCGACGTCGAGGATAAGGTGTTTTAGGTAACCCAAATTGGGCCCGAAGGCATGAAAATATGTTTATAAATCAATTAGACTTATCCTTCTAGGAAACAGCATCTTTCTGTTTGGAAAAAAAGAAAGCTAAATGCCATGTTTGACCTGATCTGCTTCAATAAATCTTTCTTTCAAGTACCTTCTTGTCTTAAAACATTACAGATCTGTGCTCATTGTATTAAATAACCAAATCATTCGATCATGTTCGTCATTTGCCCACAAGACATTCAAAGTGGTGACGGGGCCTACGGTCAATGAGCTAGACATGTATCAAAATTTCGAAGAAGTATGCATGCTGGAAGGAATCTGTTTTCACCATGGTCGATGTTTGCTATTCATCGATTGCAATCACATTCACTGACGGCACTCAAGTTACTTGGAACATAAACCGCTCTGTCGTTGACGCGTCCCAAATCTATAATCTGTAGTGGCACTGATTCAGTGTCTTACCGTGCGTGCCAAAATGATACATGAGGAGGCACCATTCAGGGTTTGTGGGCTTGCTTCGCTGGGCCACGGAGCTTCTATGAACGAATTGTCTTTGCGTTTTCTCGGAATGCATTCAACAAAATTCAACATGTAATTCCCTGGCCAACCTGACCTCTGGCCGCCGGGATGCCTGAGGGGAACCGCGTGTGATGTGGCCTACCCTGGGCGTGGATGGGTTATGGGAAACAAAGTTGCTCTGTTAGCCAGGTTTTCGTGCAGCTTCATAGGTTGGATCGCTTTCAACCTTGATGTAAATCGGTTGAAGACAGTTCACCCGCCCTTCACCCCCTTTATACGCCTTCGCGTGCAGGAAGGTGACTGTTCCAAATGCTTGAACAAAAACACTTCACATGTTTCAAGAAACAGTCTTAAGCCCTCGGAGATATTATTAATTCGAACTTAAGAAAAAACGTTGCCATAGTACTTGCCGATTTTGCACCGCCTTGTCATGCGTCAAAGCTGATGAGGCAAATCAAAGCACAAAAACAACTGATCCACACACATTATTTTAGGCATTTTTCTCAAATGAGCCCACACACTGCTCACTAAGACAAGATCAGTTGCTGCCCAGCTTTCCAATCTTGATCTTCATATTTCCGCTGCGTTTAAAGAAACGGTTCAAGAACACCCCACTCGCTTCCTCTGCAAATGTCAAATTTCACCAATGTCACAACTGACACTGTCAGTGTTGCTGCGATATTTCTGTACCGTCAGATGCTTTAGTTACTCCAAAACGGTTAGCAGACAAAAAGCAAAAGCCAAGAGGCCAAAAGACAAAAGGCTAAATGACAAAAAGTCAACGAGTCAAAAAGACAAAAAGCCATATGTCAAAAACCCAAAACATAAAAGTCAAACGCGAAAAGTCGAACGGCAAAAAGTCAAAAGAAAAAGCGTACAGCAAAAAGTGAAAATAGCGTCAAGCCAAATAGCAAAAAGTCCAATGCTTAAAAGTCAAAAGATACAATTCACTTGCAAAAAGTCAAACAGATATAAAAAACCGATGTCAAATGTTACAGGGGTGAAAGACAAAAGGGATAAAGACTACGGCAATAATAGGCCTTCCACCGGTCTCAAACTTCCCTTCTAGCCTTCCCCACTGGTACCTAAAAAGGGAAAAGATGAGTTTAAGAAATCCAAGTCAAAATGCACGGGGTGCTTGGGAACCCTTAAGCAAGTAAGCCAAACAAACTCTCGTCCATTGCGCGGGGATTATCGGCTGAAATGTTTGGAACTCCATGACATCTGCACAACCACGAGGCCTGCTCGTCTCACTTTCGTTCAGGCTCGGTCTCTTTTATATGGCAGCACAGACCCTTGCACGCCTGCAGGAACATTTCTGCTGTAGGTTTAGTCAGTGACGGCGCAGCAGGAAGAGATCAAGGGAGCAGTTACCCACTCCCGTAATTGAGCTGGCTTATCCAAGTTAGTGTTTCTGGCCCTTCATGCATCAAGTCGTAAATTTGACTGGGGCTTGCTCACTTAATGTGTCTACTTACGGAGTCCCTGGAAAACCACGTAGCTAACCCCATCCCAATATCTGCCAATACAATGGTTAAAGCTTCATCACTTTTCGAACAACTTGATAAAACAAGCCGAACACTTTCAACAGTGCTTTTTGCTTGGTGACGACTTAAACCTGTTGAATTACGAAAGTGATTGCTGATAAGAACAAGGTGCGTTTACAAGTTTTAGTTGGTACCTTATTTCTAACATCGCTTTTTTCGTATTTTATTGGTCCTAGTAACCCAACGAATGGGGTTACCTATGACTACCCCGAACCCGAAATGGTCGATAAATGTGACATGCGTTTTTTTCCAAATTAGAAAGGCATGGGACAATCCCGAGGAGATGGATTAGACCAGGATGGTGACAAAGTTATTGTACGGGTTACCTAGTCGTCTTCCCACCAAAGGTAAAGAGACCGACTGGATGGAATAGCCCAGCTCGACTCGTGATCCACCGGTGGACTGCATTATCCTCCTGTGCCCGCAGGTCACGCCCAAAGATCACCGTCCAGTAGCCCGCCGTTCAGCCCGTGCCAGGCGCGGCGCAAAACGGAAGAAACAGACGCGTGCCAAGTAAAAAGCATGTAGCAGTTTCGGAGAAATGCATATATTCGTCTCGTAGAATTCTCAAAAATTTGAGAAGAGGAGGGTCCTAATAGTGGGGGTGGGGGGCTAACGCCATTCAATCATACCTTGCGTAGATTTCGCGGCCTGGTCCGGCCAGGTCAGGCACGTCTCTGAAGAGCTCATGTGTTTGTAGGCATTGATCGTATTGCCGTAAAATATGGAGCAGAAAACAACATATTTCTTCACACATCATGCCGAAATATGTCAAATAGATTGCGAATAGCCTGTAGAATCAAGTTGCACATTTTTGTGAATTTACACTTGTGGCATCAGTTCGCTTTCTCATTGACTTATATGAGAAACCTTACATTTTCGAATCGCGAAAAAGTCAAGAAGGGGAAGTTAAAAGAAGCATGCAAACAACTCCAAATCCTGGCCACGAGGCGTCGTAGTGACTAGACGTCGTAGTGCACTAAGGAGCATTCTGACCATAGCTATCAGTCAACACATCATCGAGTTGACTGATCATTGGTCTACCAAAGCTGGCTCCGCCCTCGGCCTTTCTCTCGTGTTTTGGTATCTTTTCGTGTCTTTGGTAGGCCCATTTCTTTGAAAAAGCATATTTCACAATTCTGCAGTATCCAAGGGCGCGAGGCCACCCGCGTGTTTCCGCCTAATGTCTGTCATTTCCGTCGCACAGCTGCAGGCACCTGCCGACCCGTCTCCCTCGCTGTCTACCTGACCTGCTGGCCCTGTCACTGACTGCTTCTGATGCCTTCCGCCAGTTTTCTTCGCTCCCCTAAAGCAGCCGGCCTGGCTGCGCCCCTGCCGGGCGCTGCGCCGCTCAATACGCTCGGAGCCAGCCGAGGGGACCGGTGCAGTCCGGCACGACGCTCCAGGGGCGGCGCCAGCCCCCGAGCCCACCAGACCGCCCGTCCGCCGGCCGCCAGATCAGTGCTAAACCAAGCCCCCGTGGTCCAGCTGCTCTCCTGGCCTGAATGGTCCAGTAGTCCGTCGGTAGTCTGTCACTGGTCAGCGGGACGAGTGGTCCATGCCACCAGCGTGGACCGCGAGGCCATTGATCCTCTCAGACGGAGCGGCCTGGCGGCTGAAGAGACCTGTGGTCCCCGTGGCGCAGCTGACGGCCGGCCGATGAGACCGCTAGTGTCCGCAGGCCGAGTGGTGCAGGAGGGAGATCCTCAAGAGCCGCGATAGAGGCCAGACCAGCCATCTGTCCCCGAGACGGCAGAGCGGCGGCCTGGCCCCGAGAGAAGACGAGACTCGGCGGCCGGCGAGTCATGGGTCTGTGAGCTGTGTAGCCGTTTGAGTCATCCGGGGGCACCACACAGGCGTCACCACATCCGCCGCCTGAAATCCCTCGCGGCTTGAGTCTGGACTCTCAGCGGCTTTGAGTTTCTTGAATCTATTGCTGGAGCCGACGCTGCCGACGCTGTCTGCCAGGACATGATGGGGCCAGGACAGGAAAGGATGCTGGGTGAAATGCTCCTGGCGCTGACCTGTTTAGGCACGGTCATCGCCCGGGGGTACGATGACCAGTACCCGGTGGTGTCTAGACAAGGTAAGACAAGCCCGCTACGCTCAATGTGAAAAACGACATTTGCATCTTTGTTGGCTTACATGCGTTGCCTGTGAATGCATCCGGTGACTTACGGTTTCTGGCAGGATGAAAAGCGAACTTACCTTATCCGGGTCCCTGTGTTCTATACTCACTCTCCTGCTGAAGCAATAGACTTAGTTGCAAAGTGACCTTACTTTTTCCGCATAGAACAAATGTGGTAAAACAATTTTCGCAGCTCAAAGCCAGATCCAGTAGAGCTAGAACAGTAACCAGATCCATCAAAGCCAGTAGATTCAGCAACCGTGGCTCAAAGCCTTAATATTCAAGCGGCACGTGCTTTCCAAATGTTTGAGGGCCTGTAAGCGAGAAAATTCCTGACTCGGCACGCTTTGTCCCTGCTGTATTCAAAAGAGAACAGGCTTTGATCACTATAACATAGTACGTAGGCTTGTTATTGATTTTTGAGCTCAGCAACTACGCTCCGCGGTGCTTCAGCGCCGTGTCAGGGCTGAGTCCCTCATCCACCAGCCGGTCTCAGACACACGGTCTATCCTGCCTTTTAACGTCACATCACATTTGGCGTGACCACTGCCACCGGTCAAGGGCCATGCCAGTCTGGAGCAAATGGCGAGCGCCCAGAGCGACTTGAGCCCACCCCGTCAAGGGTGGGCGAATCGCAAGATATGTGTTGCAACCCGATGAGCCACCGGTGTGGCAGAACTCCTCACTATGACGTCATCCGTGACCAGTAAAACACCAATGAGCACACTGTGATTCTAAGATGACAATGTTCATGGCATATGCTATCCGAGGTGAGGTTATCCCTCACCTTCTACTGTTAAGCATGTGCTCAGTCTTCTGTGACGGGCACGAAAAGCTGCGAGAAGCCGTTGCTGCAGGTGCTCTGTGCAATGCATTACAAAGGTACCTGATGCTTCTTAATAAAAATGTTATGTTCTCCCTTTTCCAGAGTTTCTACCCGTGGACATTCAGCACGGTCAGTGCGACACCACGGTGACCATTTATGAAGATGTCTCGACCCCAGGGGTCACCAGCCACAACTACAACCGCCCCCTCACCTGCTGGTATGAATTCAGGTAATGTGCGGACCAATAACTGCGGGATGCAGTCACATGCTGGCACGGAATTCCAGAATATTCAAACCTACATCTCTATTTAAGGGGAATTGCTCCAGCACGCATCATGCAGGCATTAAGCTTTCCACATGCTTATGTTCCTCCTTTTTGCAGCATAATTCCAATCAGCCTCACGTCTAATATCAAACAGCATAGAAGTGAAAGCCCACGCGGCATGCTTCAAAATGTAAACGAACGAGATATATCACGGGATGTGTGTCCAGCACACGCATTTGGCTCATGGAAACGAAGCGATCGCTTTGTATTCATGATGTGTGCGTTCCGCTATTTTCTGAGTCCATGTTTTCTATTTATTGTGCGTCTATCAAGAGGGATATTGTGGGAACTTCCACGTTCATGGAACGATAGAACCGGTACGTCCCTGATGTAGGAATGTTTATTGCTGAGATTCCCTCCACCCCCCCCCCCCCTCTCTCTCTCTCTCTCTCCCCGCAGCTTGACGGGTGCTCCAAGCTCCGACTATGTCATCGACATCCGCTTTAAAACCTTCAACGTCGGCAGAGTGTACAACAGCTCCACGTGCCAAGGCGGCTACGTTCAGGTCTGAGTCCCATACGTCCAGGTCTGGGTCCCATACGTTCAGGTTTGAGTCCCATAGCTCAGGTCTGAGTCCCATAGCTCAGGTCTGAGTCCCATAGTTCAGGTGTGAGTCTCATACGTTCAGGTCTGAGTCCCATACGTCCAGGTTTGAGTCCTATACGTTCAGGTCTGAGTCCCATACGTCCAGGTCTGAGTCCCATACGTCCAGGTTTGAGTCCTATACGTTCAGGTCTGAGTCCCATACGTCCAGGCCTGAGTCCCATACGTTCAGGTCTGAGTCCCATACGTCCAGGTCTGAGTCCCATGGGTTGCGGCGCCGGCATGTATATTTACGCGTGCTGATTGTTGGTACCTGACACTGGTCTATTGGTGCGGACTCTTGCAGTCCGTATTAGTGCGTTTGACATTGGCTCGTTTTGGACGTTTCAACGAAAGCGTATGAGTCATTGTGAAATACCTTCTCGGGTGGTGGTGGACCTTGGAATCGATAGAGCATACTTGTGGAAGCAAATTGTAATTTTGTAGCAGTTTTTGCTGTCCCTCTTCCGTCGGATCTTCGGAAAAGACAGATGAAACAATTGATGTACTATGTCCGTTAAAACAAGTGCAGAACAAGCATTTTTACTGATAGCACCATTTATCGAAGATGGGCCCGCTGCATCGCACGGAGACCACTGTTGGGAAGTGGCAGCTCTTTTTTGGCAGATCATCGATGGCACTGAGGACACAGCCATTACCAACCACCTGTCGCCGGGCTTTTTCTGCGGGGAGATGCAGGACCGGAGACACTTCATCAGCGAAACCAACAAGGTACGCACGGAGCACGCCAAATTTGCGGGGTGGAGGGGCCGTGGGGGGGGGGGGACAAGAATCTCTTTGGGGCAAAGAGGAGCAAAGCCCTTTTTCACTCGCCACCAACGTTTTATCATGCATATCGTTCCGTTTTTTCGCAGACAAGCGGCAGTGACGTGATTAATTGTGATGGAATGTGTTTCTGCTGCCGCTACTTTTACTGAACTACACTTTGCATACGTGTCATGCGATTTTAGACCTTCTGACAGCGCTGATTGAGAATAATATTTAGCATGCGCTTGAATGGCGGGTGAAATTCACCCTCAAAGGTTACTTAAAAATCATTTCTGAACAGCGTAGCGTAGCCATGCAAAACCTTACACAGCTATATAGAATTGAATAGCGGATCTTTTGATGGAGAAATATATTTACCTTATAAGGCTGCCGACCTATGCTGGTCAGTCAGGTCACGGCTGTCAGCGATGGGCATTTCTAGGAAATCGTTCCATGCGATGTAACAACGGAGTGTTAGACGAAGCCATCCCTCTCTATGATAACTTCTTAGGCGACAAATCAATTTAATTCATAATCAAAACCAATTTCATTGGCCTAGAGTCAGGTATGACGGTCAGACGGAAGCCAACACTTGCCTGCCTTTTTACTCGAGAACTGATTCTGTGGTGTGTTTCTGGTGCTCATTTCAAATTCATTAGTGATAGGGACCACAACGGACATGCTCCATGAACTTGATAAAGGTCGGTGTAGGTCACTGACCTTAAATGACCCAGGTCAACATTTTGTGTTAGGGAACATACAGCCCAGCGCAATCCTTGACACTTGTTTGAATGCCCGAATAGAGACAATCTCGTAGGTAGTTGGCAACAATGACCTTATAAAGGTCAAGGAAGATTACTGACCTCATTTCACTTCTTCTAGAACAGACATATAGCTTCACGACGGTTGCATGAGAAGGTTGGGGTGCTCGAGACACCAATCTGCAGTTTGACCTCGTTTGTCCCTTTTTAACCCCAAAGTCATGATCTTGGAACCTGAAATTTAACATTGGGTTTTGCCTTGGTTTGACCTTTCTACTGATACTAGGTCAATGAAATTTATTATTTAATTGTTGTGTTGCATAAGAAAGTATCTCAGAAATGCCTGGCTCCGTCTAACAATGTTGTTGCATCAGATTGAGCGATTCCCGGGAAATTGGCTTCGCTAAATCCATGGCCTGATTTTGGCCTGCTGTAGGTCACCGACCTTACAAGGTACACCTAAACTTGTAACATCAAACGATATGCTGTTTAATTGTCTAAAGCTATGCAAAATTTGGCGGGCTACACAGCGCCGTTTGTAAATCATTCCAGAAAGACCTTTAGGGGCTCTAATTGAACCCCACGTGTTGAGAGAGCATTTGGTCGCTATCGCTGCCGACACCACGGTGTATTCACTGTAGTGTCAGAGTCATTTCTCTAGCACGTGCAGTACTGACATCAAGCCACAGCTCGGGAGACAGCGCGGGGCTGAGCCACTGTGACACGGCTGGCCTCAGGTGAAGCTGATCTTCCACGCGGACAACTTCACCGAGGACACGTACTTGTCCTTCTTCTCGCGCACGGAGCTGACAAGAGCACTACACGAGCGGTACGGAAAACAACCTGAGCTGTACCCTGGCGGACGCCGCGGAGACCCTGTGAGTAGCCCAGCTGTGCCTGAGAGGTGTAGTGGTAGGATACAGGACATTTTAAGAGATCAGGTTGCACCCCAATGCGAAAATGACTAGAACAGGAAACTTACCGGGGCGCAAATGGCTGGCTGCTGATAATATCTGGCCGTGGGATGCGAACGGAATTTATAATGCTGTGGGGTGTTCAAACTTTATTATCAACATCTTAAGTTATGCGGCTTTAAGTGCGAGGTGTGCTGGTCTTTTGTTCGGCAGGTGGGACCCAACAACTATTGCGAGCGCGTCTTCAGCCGATGCAGGACGGACAGCTGCTTCGTCCAGTCGCCCGCCTACCCGGGACCCTATCCCAGGAGTGAGTGAATGGCGTTCACCATAAGCAGTTTCCAACTAAAACCGCCGGTGTTTGAAATTCTCGGTACGAATTCAGATACGAATTGCGTGGTAAGGTGAAGTCCTGTGATTCAGTAACACTCTTTGTCGATAACTATTTACAAATTTATGTCGAAACTTAAATTCGTCCTTGAGGATGAAGCCGCCTGAGATACACCTTCTGAAACGCAGAGCTGTTGACAAACTGTGACAGTTCCGTCTGCGTTTGTCGCCTACAGCGCGGCTTTACCTGTCATGCAGCTAAAGAATTGAGCGCATTTGGTTTGCAATCCGGAAAGCGTGCGATAGTTATGCTGTAGCAGGGTTACGATAAAAAACGAATGATCTTCGCGCGTTACCGATGTACGTCTGGCGTCTTAAAATATTTGTTTTGCCCTCGTCCATGGCTTTCGCTTCCGGACACTGCATTTGTCTGTGGATTTTTCAGACTTGCACTGTCGATATCATCTGAACGTAGAGAGTGCGTATATCAAGCTCTACACGGCCGACCAGCAAGTCAGCATTGATGGCCAGCGGTGTGACAGCCCCATGATCTGCCCTCTCAGGTAGGCCCCGAGTCACACGGTCTACCTCCTCAGAACCACACGGAGCCCTATAATTGGTCCTCAGGTACACTCCGAGTCACATGATGTCTTCTCAGAACCACACGGAGCCTCATGATGTATCCTCAGGTACTTTCCGAGCCACATGACCTGTCTGCTCAGAACCACACAGAGCCCCATGCTTTATTCTCAGGTACGCCCTGAGTCACATGATCTGGCATCTCAGAGTCACACACAGGGACCCATGGCAGGTCCTCTCAGGTGCAATTCGAGTCACACAGTCCGTCCTCTTCGATAAGCAAACAATTTTGGATCTTTCAAACAGCTAACTGCTCTCCGCTCAGTAAATAACAATTTGAACAGCATTTTCTGCCACTTCCATAGAAATGAACGTCACGATGGACGCAAATCATTTGCCGCTCCAAAAGAAAGATCCCTGAAAGCTACATAAATATTCATGGAGCTTACAACTGGAGCTAATAGCCAACGCCACCGTCTAGTCTGTTTCGCCCGGCAATAGTTTAAGGAGTTTAAGATTTGAGCAGTCAATGACGTGTCCAGAGACTTTTAAAGAGCACGGGTTAACTCATTCCCCTGAAAGCAATTTCGATGATTCAAACTTCGTAGCGAAAATATGAGGTGACAAGAAGCACAACCCTGTTTCTTGGCCCGCCAATACAAAATGTAGCATGCGTTCTGCTGTTTGAAATATATTTTGACAAGATCTATGGCAGCTAATACAATGTCAATTTAGGGACCAGCAAGACCATTCGAAACAAAATCATAACTTGCAAACTGGCTCCAGATTCCGCTGCAGATTTTATAGCCGTCAGCTGTTGTAAGCTAGATGGGCCGCATGCAAGCCGCAGGGACGTAAAGAGCGGGTAAAAGACTCACAGGTGGTGCCTATACTTCGAATCAGAAGAGACCTGCAGAATCTGCAGCAGATTTTTCAGTACACCAACGTCGCGGAATAAAGAGGCACTACTTGCGAGCTCCTTTATCATAGCCTGAGTCCACAATGCCGCAAAGCCTGCGAGTCTGAGGGCTTAAGAGTGGCAACTGTTTTCCACGACAGCTGCCTGACTGCAGAATCTGTGCAGCGTTCTGAAGCAAGTCTGCTCGCGAAGCGTGCATTGGGCCTTAAACGCTTGTTCGGAAAGTAAGACGCAAGCTGTATGCACCGCTCTTCAAAGCGCCAGCCCAGCGTTGTTGTAGGTCATGTTCTTGCCCCGTAGCAGGTCATGTTCCGCTGTTCCTGGCACCAAAGTGCCTTGCAGTACAACTCTGCTCCCAGGACCTTTTTCCAACAAACCTTGTATTCCTGATGTCCCGCAAGCTCAACTCGTGTTCAAGGCGCGCATCAGACGATTTGGGCGCCTCCCGTAGTCTTCACTCCGTAGATCCGTAGTGCCTTCACGTAGTTTAACCCTCCATTCTCCTTTACTCAACATCCCGATAAATTATTGGTTCAAACAGACAAAACGTGGGCCATTAAACGTTAACGAATTTCAAGTGGTTAAGACTTGCGGGCCCCACGTGAATGGCCGGGGTTTGAATCCCGACTGCACTTTGCTCCCCCCTCCCCGGTGCTAGTATAACCAGTGCCGTAGTCGCTGCCTTTGCATGAAACAGGTCACGACGGCGTGACGCATTGTTTTTAAATGTGTATTTGAACACACCACCCATTAGATGATTGTTACCCCTCTTTCTAACCGGAGAAGACCCCAAAGACACAGATTGGCGGTGTACCACGCCATGACGTCACCACTCCGCGTCCTGCTGACCCGGTACGGTCGCAGAACAGCTGTCAACGGACCGCCGCGCTGTGCGCATGAGGTCCGACCGGACGGTTGTGCCTTGGTGAAAATAGAATCTGGAATTACTGGACAACGAATTCTCCATCACATACCTGGCCCATAGAGACGACAAACTCCTTTGATAGATTACTCGTGCATGGTTTACGAAGCCCATTTGGTGCAGCATGATTTGCAGGCCCTTCATTCTTCATGTGAGCAAAGCTCTGTCACCTTTCCATTGTAAGTGAATACGTGAATAATGTTCCTCGCTAATACACTGCACAACTTATGTAATTTTGAATACGTTACCCAAGTAACATGTGTGCAGGCCTCTCACCTCTAACCCAGCCCGGTGCACGCGAGACTACATCACCATCTACGATGGCAAGAAGGAGATCGACCCTAAGATTGGCACCTTCTGTGGCTTCGGGAGGTACGTCTGACATCGTCGTCTTGTATCCAGAGGGTATATGTACCTGTGTATGGCGTGGGCACATATGTAACATACGTTGTAGCAAGTAGTGTGGCATGCATTGGGCACACGCAACGCTTGGAAGTATGTAATGAGTGCACATAGTCACGTACCCAGTGGGTAAATGACAACGCCGTATATGCTCATCGCGATGGAACCATTTTACTTTTTTACAGCGGCCACTCAATACACATGTTTGCATATATCCTTTCCGCGCACTGAGCACTAGCTATACATTCGCGACAAACTGACTGAAAAACTCGTACAAGGCTATCGGGCGCTGGTTCCGAGCGAAGGCCCTAGAACAGAAGGTATAACCGTCCAATCAAATTACGCTGCTTCGACTGACGTCACGCGTGTACTCGGCACGGAATGGGCAACAGCGGATACATGCCTACCGCAGTTTGCCTGGCTTTTTGAAACGGTTCTAGGACTGCAAACCTTTAAATATCGTTGGTTGGATGATAGCAAAAATATCTCTTCTCCGAAAAGGTCGTACTGTCAGCTGCAAGGTTTATGAATCATTAGGTGGCCGGCGTCCCAGCCGAGCGTATCGGGCTAGAAAGCTGGGAAACAAAACTCACACAAAGCTTTTTCGGGAATTCATTGCCTAAGTTGAAAATATACATGCAAGTGAAAAATTTAATAGGGCATCTTAAAGAAGCAATAATTAGAAATCGTACTGACGTGGAAGGTCAAGGTCAGGGGAAACAAAGGCCTGCAGACCCCCGTTACATGTTTGCAGGGACTGGGTCGACTCAGGCGTTTGCAGGGACTGGGTCGACTCAGGCGTTTGCAGGGACTGGGTCGACTCAGGCGTTTGCAGGGACTGGGTCGACTCAGGCGTTTGCAGGGACTGGGTCGACTCAGGCGTTTCATTTCTTCAAAAAGTTTATGCTCTTTGGGAGTGTCAGGATGCTGTGTTAAGGACATGTGGATGCCACAATGAGGTCGGGTCAAGGTCATTCCATTCAATGTTGACGTGATAGTTTGATGTATTCACGCAACCTATGATTCAAAATATTCCACATCCATTTTGTTCGCGTTATGCAGCTTACGTGTCAGCTACAATTTTTTTTCTGGCTAGTACACAGTCAAGATGTAGGAAGGATGCAAAGATGAGATCATGAGGTCAACATCAAAAGCAGTGAGCTAGTCACGTCATACATGCTTCCGGATTGCTTGTCCCACAGGAATTCAATATAATCACCTTCAATCTTGCATCGGGTCATCTAAGCGCCCGAAGAGATCACAACCT